AAAGAACTTCAAACTAAAATGAAGCTTATAGATAAAAAGGTAAGATAAAAGCTTGTAGCAGTTGCTGTGACAGACTTTTAGTGTGCTCATATATAACTAAAATAAATTTCAAAAGGAAAATGTGAGTAACATTCTGTTGCACTCTAGTGAAGTGTTCCATATTATTTTTCACAAGGTCATTTTCCCCATGAACTTCCTTCTCTTCCTTTCCAGTTTGTATAGCCTGGTCTTTAGCTGATGTGCTCTAACACCAGATTTTTCATGGTTTAAACAAGCTCATATTATGGCATTCTAGGACTGTTCTGGATGGGGATCACCACAACAGTAACTTGCCATGCTTATGCACTATTCAAAAGCTTGCCTGGGCCACCTACTGTGACATCAAAACAATGGGTAAGGAGCACGCCAGTTGCTGCTTTTCCCCAGGCTCTTAAGATTTCTTGCTTCTGATAATTTTTCATAGAGACCATAAGAGCTCCTTCCTTCAAACTGAGCTCTGCTATTATTTAAAGCTATCACTTTGGTATCTGGGAAATAAAAGTTGAAATATCAGCTGTCAATGCACCTAATGTTAGGAACAGGAATGAACTTTTCCTTGAAGATGATGGGAAAAGACACATCACACAGCCAACCACAATGACCTATTGCAGTTCATAAGGCCTTGTTTAATTGAAGAAATTGCTTTCTGGAAATGCTGCTGCCTACCTGGGGCATTTAACTGAAGCAGGGCTTTCCCATTAGGAAATGTATGCAAGAGCATTTTATACCTGTGCATTATCCTGTGGATCTCCCAGCTGTGCCCTGAGTCCTAAGCACAGGTTCTGTCCTTTCTGTTTCCATCCTGTATTAGCCACACACATCTTGTGTGTTAGTGCTGGATCAATTACCTTGAATATGAAAATATTTACAGCTTGGAGAGCCAGTAAAACCCTGAAGAGGACACTGGGCAAGAGTGCCCTGTTGATGGCAGGCCCAGCACCTGCATTAGAAGATTCCTTTTCTAAAGGAAAATTGTTTTAATATTTTTGTTTTGACTCAGATGATGACCCACACTAGGTGGAATATTGAACAGCTGTAGCCTAACAGAGTGAAAAATCACCCTGTTGAAAAGCAGGAGATGGATACAGCAGGACCAGAGCATCTGTACCACACTCCCTTGTGGAGGGAGCTCCCTGTGGAATTGCCATTCTCCTTCCCACATTGTCTGGATGTCAGCTGGCACAGCCAAACCTCCAGAGCACCCAGGACAGAGGTGGTGCCTGATGCTACAGAGAAACAGATGCTGCAGGGTGAAGCTCTGTTGCACTTACCTGGACACAGAACAAAACACACCCATGTGCTCAGAGGCTTATCCACTGGGATGGGAGAAACGCAGGATGGTGAATTCTGTGAGGAAGCAGTGCAGAAAGAAACATGGCTTTGGTGAAGGGACTTGGAGGCGGTGCAGTGAAACTTAGAAGGCTAAAGCAGTACAGCTGTGGACAGTTTTCCCCTTTCATCTGGCAGAAACCATTTTTTCCCAATGCTTTCTTAGAACAAAAAAGTTTTGGAGCACAAACACCAGAAGCAAAATCGAGTTAGACAGAATCAGTTGCTCTACTGGGACCTTACAGGAGAAAATAAAACACCTTTTCCAGGGATACCTTTACACTTCATTTTAGCTGTGTATCCAAGCCTAGGTCAGCAAGATCATAGCAACCATAACATTTAAAAATTACATCCCTTACATGGAAATAAGCTGGGAAAATATTTATTGAGTAATGAAATGCATTCTTCTCCTTTATCTGCACCACCTGGCACTGCATGGATCTCAGCTAGGTAAAATAGGCCTCAGAACTGAACTCCAGTCCTTCAAAAATACAAGTTCCCCAGTCACAGAGATTTTGCTTAAATACAATTCTGTATTTGGCCTTGGATTTTTGAGCTTTACAGTTCAAACCTATTCTCTCATTCCACTGTATTTGTTTTTTAAGTTCAATTCTCATGACTTTGAAAGCTTTCTAAAGGTCAGAAGAGAGAAGTACCAGATATTGCCACAATCACCCACAATGTAATGCAGCCATTTCATACTGCTTTAAAAAAAACCATGGTGACTTTTCATCTCAGGGAGTGTGGCTGGAGGTGTGGGTCAGGTTTCAGAGGGAACAGAAAGTCGGCCAAATCCTTTGCCATTAGATGTGGTGCAGTTTGGGTGATGTGATGAAAGAGCTGTCCTGCTCTTGAAGCCCTGTCACAGCTCCCACCTCTGGGGTAGCAGCAGCCACTCCTGGGCACAGCTATCAAGCATCAGGCCAAGTTGTTTAGCCTCGTATTTATTTAATCTTTGTGAAGATAAAGAAGGGTGTTCCACTGAGAGCTCTTTTGTTTCACTCTCTATCAGTTCAATAGAAAAGAGAGCAGAGCTAAAGCCACAAGCAATGGTTTGTATATCTTGTAAGTCTCCTAAAGCCTTGTCATCATATGCTGTATTATGTTGTCTTTTTTACTGAGTGACCATTGCTCTATTGTACACCATCTGCCTTTTTGTGACTTGATGAACCACATTGTAAAAGGCAGAAATCAATAAAGTTCTCCAGAACCCAAAACCTTGGCGGGAAAATGTTTTCCTGCAGCACCATCTTGTGGTCCCTGATTTTAGCACTGAAGAGGTCCCTCCCCTCTCCCTGGCCCGGGAAGGTTTTTCTGCAGACTTGGGAACCACACCCAGCTTTCAGCAGCTCCTTTTCTAGCCACAGAGGTACTGCGAGGAGCCTGGAAAAAATGATTGTGCCCTCTTGTAGCTGACCTGGACCCTCATCGAGTTCTTGGAAGGGATAGAAGGGACAAAGGAAAATTGAATTTGGCTTGATATACATGATAGAATCAGCAGCCTAGGCACTGGGGAAAAGACACGTTTCAGTTAGATGTGAGGTAACCCCATACTGAAATTGTTGTGTTATATGCTTAGGTCCAGCAGCACAAACATAAGCAAACAAAAACATTTCATGCAAGGGATCTGAGTATTCAGTGTAAGCAGGCAGCCAATCAGCTGATCAGAGCACCCACCTTTCTGTGACATTGTCCATTGTCAGTACAGTTTGCATCACACACAGGCCTGTGAATAAATATCTGTGCTTTGACCCTAAGGTGGCAATCTTGACCTTCAACAGTAATGAAATAGCTATTATAACATCTTAGGCACAGAGAGCAGTTATTTAAGTAATACCCATGTCTTGAAAGCTATTAATTCAATGCACTGTCAAGCTAATAGAGAAATTAAAATGTAAAAGCAGAACTTTTGTCTTCTCCAACTGAAAAGCAAAGCTTCCAGCTTTTTAGAGCACCTTTACAGCAAAGCTGCTGCATGGAAAAGGACAGGCCCCACGTTTGTTCACTGTGCTCTGCTGTCCCACTAAGGGGAACACAACCCTGGCTGTAAATTTTTTATCCCACCTCCTCCTCTAACAGAACATTTGGTTTATGCTCCTCTTGTTCTGGCACTGCCAGACACAGTTACTGCAGATGCACTGACTGCTCACCCCTACACACAGTTGTTTTATCAGTGTGTCCCTTTGTCAGGATGTTATGTGACACTGAATCCAGTTGTGCTGCCATTGAGAAGGAAACTGGAGGAATTTATTGCCTTTCAAATCAAAATCATGAATAACCACGTGAAAGCCTAACTTCCTGAGGAGCACAACTCACTCTCCACAATCACCAGCCACGAGCATCTCTCTGGTTTGTCACGTGCACAGTTCAGCTGTGACAGTGCCTCAAAATTCACGCAGCAGGAAACAATTTTTTTCTCTGTCAAGATGTCTATGTGTGTACTTTACCTTCTAGAAAAATAATATCAAAAAAGAGCAAATACACAGCAGATTTAGAAAGCAAACATTGCCCTATTCAGTTTCCATTGTTCTGTTGCTCCACATCAAAGACTGTAATACTTTTGTTTGCAAATTTTTAACCAAATCGTCTGTAACACAATGCTTCTGGCAATGGTTGCAATATCAGCCTTTAAGCTCCTGCACATAGTTACATCTGATCATCAGCAAGCACTCCAACACCTTCACGAGATCACCCATATGCATATTCCACCCACGCTTGGATTTTAAGTGATCCCCTTTTTAGGACTTGGGAAACCAAAAAAAATGCTTTAAACAGGGAATTCTGAACATACAGATTTTCAAAGAATCACTCATAATATTTACTCTCCAGCTTAGGACCAAAGCTCTTTTCCTGCCAGTTGTAGCTCTTGGAAATTCTGCTGCATGGACTTCACAGCCCCAAAGAAATATGACAAGTGATTGTGTTATTATGGGTGATATTGACTTCCACTGGCATTCTTTCAGGTGCTCACTCTGCACTCAGCTGTCGAAAAGTGTTAGACATCTGTTTCTTTTATTTTTGTTACACTACAGAGAAATGGAAAGAAATTGCATTTTGGAATCACCTACTTCAGGAGACAGGTCATCCTAAGATCAAAAAAAGTTGTTTGGTGCAGCAATACCCAGCAGAGAGAACAACTCCAGAGACAACACTGCCACAGTTTCCTTGAGTACTCTATATTTTTGCTAAGCATATCTTTAAAGCAATTGCCCAAGAACAGATTTCCCAAATCCTCTGTAGCCTTGTAAAGAATTAGCTGTTCTCCTCAGCAAGAGTAGCACTAAATGCTATGGGGCCATACATCTGGAACCAGAGCAAGCTTCCTCTCAACACCAATTTAAGGAGTGACAACATTCCCTTAATCTTTTTCTAAGGCTGACCCATAAGCTGATATGTACACATAACTGCTATCCTTATATCCCTCCACAGACATGCTACTGTGTGAAAAGAACACTGACTTCACTATTCAGGGGTTGCCACAAGCAGTTTGCCTTCCAGTGTTACCAGTTGGTTGTTTGTTGTTTTGTTTTTTTTTTTTATTTTTGTACAGGAGGTATGGAATGAGTGCAAGAAACTAGAATGAAAAAAAATTTATTGTAAAATCAATAGTATTATCAAGGGTTTGCAACTTTGTATTACTTCAATGTTAAAATAAAAATTGTCCTTTTCCAGAGATAGCCAAATAATCCTGGTGTCTTCTGCTTGATCTTCAGGATCAGGTGGATGTTCCTATACACCAAAGGGAGAAAAAAAATCCCAAACATGAGTGTGATTTGATTTAGGGACACCTTTACATTTCTGCCAAATCAATAGTCTCCCTGAAATATTTCTTTATTGTCTAATGACCTCCCTAACACTTTATTATTTCATGTGACCTTTAGTAGGCTATAGCTTGGCATGGTCACATGAAGTAAATAGCATTTCATTCTCAGATTACATTTATTTCAATTAGTAGTCAATTGCTCTTCAGCATTGAGGAAGAATGGCAAGAATGCCAAGGTATGGAGCTACGGGAATGCCTCAGCTGCCAGACACCCCTATCCATACAGAAAGAAAGGCTCTCCAGTGCCTCTAAATGCATCTGCCTCTCCTGAAAGCAGCAGACCCAATGTGCTTCCACTTTCTCATGCTACAATTTGCACATGAGATAAGGCACACTGAAGTGACATTGGGCTTTAACCTCAGCCTGTCCACGGCTCCACTGTCAGCTGGCAGCTCAGCAACCAAATTCTTGCAAACTCATTACCTCTGCCACAACAGGAACTGGAGGTGATCCCTGACAATGCCTTTGGACAACTCTACTGCACTGGCAGGCAGCAGGTATTTGGTAGTGCATATCTTTAGTATTCTACTCAACAGAACAACCCTAAACTTAGAACAAGAAAATATCCCAAAGTTAGTTTACCTTCTTTTTTTTGTCCTTTTGGTTCTTTAGGTCAGTCCAGCAAGTGGCGATGAATCTCCTCTTCAGGATTCTTCATACCACCAATTCGTTTAGACTGTGCAATTTTCTGTACTTCTTTGCTTATGTTTCGTAAAGGATTGATACACGGACTGCAACATATTAAAACAGCTGAAACTGGATGATTTCCAAAGTAGGAATTTAGAGAAGGTCACCTAGACTTCAGCCATGAAAACCCTACCTCCAGTGAAAAAAACTCAAAAACCTATACTTGATTTCAGGGGCCATCATAAGATTCATCACCAGAAGAAAGGTGAGGAGAAGCATGTCAATGCTTTTCCCATTTCTTACATTTTCTTCGTGAATTTCACCTTTTGATTCATACAGAATCACAGAAGCATTCAGGACAGAAAATGCCTTTAAGATCATCAATCCCAGCCATTAACCCAGCACTGCCCAGACCATACAAGGAACACACAGGCCTGGGGCACCCCTTGCTGCCCAGCTCTTCCTGAGAGAGGAATTCCTGCACACGGCTGCTTGTCTCATCCCCAGCAGGCAAGGATGGGGAGACAATGCAATCATGACCAGAAATTTCCCCAGTAACAAATTAACAAAATTCTATTGTCTTCTTACCACAGCTGTACTAGGGATTGGGCAGGAATGAAGACTTTTCTATTAAATTTTTTAAATCGACAGTGTATTATTCAAAAGCAGGGCTATTTAAGTGCACCTGCATTTTTCTAACCTTTAATGTTTTAACCTACCTGTCCTTGCATGTGGTTCTTAAAGAACCATACTAACAAAAGTGAGAGGAGTAAGATAGGCTGGCACAGTTATGGACATAGCAAAGCCATCAGAGCACAGCCCCAGACAGGAAATACTGTGCTGATAGCACACAAGGGAAATTGCCAATTGGCAGGGAACAGATGTGTAGATTCTGCTTCCTGCATGAAAAACACCATGGGAAGGAGGCAGACTCACAGCTTGTCCATGGGGATGTGGAAAGTAACAAAGTCTCACTGGCTTGGGAAATTAGATCAACTAGAATTGATCAAGTGTGGCAAGGAGAGGAGTACTCAGCTCCCTCTGTCAATATTACAGGAATTTCATGTTCCTACATTTTCTTTGGCCATGGTATAGAAACCTTGCGATTTACTCTAGAAGAGGCACAGTGGAGTTGAACAATTATCCCAAATTTCATCAGCAAAAGTCCTCTTATTTTTTCAATAACTCTAGAGAACAGTTTTTACTTTTGTGCACACCAGTTGCATTACAGATTTGGCATTGTGCATAGGACTCTCTCGACATTGGCTGTATAATGCTGAAAACAAAAGAATTTCTATCCAGAGAGGTTTTTGCTTATTAAAGGAATGTTTCTCAAAGCTCTATCAACTGTCTCTAAAACTGGTAAAACTCAAAGTTACAGTGGGATAGGATTGCATCCTTTCTTGAACTGAAATATATGATGGAAATTTAAACCATTTAGCACCTGGTTTAGTTATTGCATTAAAAAACAAAGCAAAAAACAAGTCAGCAGAAGAGCAAAATTCCTAGCTTCACTGGCTATGAAAAAACACAGAAATGATAATTTAAACATTAATGTGAATTCTCCCAAAACGAACACATATTAATTCATTTTCCAGAGAATTTATGATAATTTCATGTTGATTCTTTGCCTCCTGCTTTCAGAGTCACTGATGACTCAGTGCAGCTATCTGTATGCTGAGCATCAGCTGTTGAGCACAGTGTAAGATGTAATGTGGAGATTTTCACAGCAGGTTTTGTCAAAATGTGGAACTCCACAGCAAACAGCCATCTGCCAAGCAGCCTCATTAGTAAAGTCTATGTGTGTGTGCATACGTGCATGTATATGATCCCACACTGACTACTATAACTTAGACCAAAAGTTTAACACTCGGAGGAAAAAATCTTCACTAAAAAGACAATTCTGTCACATTAACCAAGTTGTAGCACCAGCCATTTAATATGAACTACTACCTAAGCAGAATAAAGCATAGTTATGTTAATTCATTCCATCAGTTTAGTGACCTTGATATTGTGGAGTTTACATTTTCCCTGCATCCTGGCAACACATACACATGCTGGAACACTTCACAATATCAGACACTAAACTGCTTGCAGAGAACTTACAGGCCCTATACATTAAAAATTCCACTCTGTATATTTGTAACCACAGAGATAATTAATTTCCAACTCACAGCCCCTCTCTCTTACTCTACTCAGGCCTCATACTTTGTTCTTCCCTTCCTTGTCTTACTGCATAACTCCAGGTCTGTCCTGGAGGGAGTCTGCTTTCGTGTTCTTTGTGCAACTTCCCAAGAAAGTGAAGTAAGATTAAGTCCATGTCTTTTATATCTAGGTCTTTAGAAAGAGTACTGGGGCATTAAATAAACTTTTTTTCTTTAAGCCAAATTGATTCTCTGTTTTATGTAGCTTCAAAATAGAAGGACTCATCTTTTATATTTGAGCATTAGTTTCTTGGCCTTTCCCCTCCCAATCTTTTCTCCCTTCACCTAGCTAAAAGATGTCAGTTCTCCATATTTTCACCATTCAGAAACAGTACATCATAAATTAGGTCTGGTCATGTGCTAACACTTACCTTCTCTGCAAAAGGGCACAGCAACAGAATGGCAGCAATCCCAAAATCAAAAATCCTCCTCCAGTGAGCAAAACCACTCGAATGGCCAGCTGCACATCTGCAGAGCCAGCAGAAGTTTGCATTAGTCCTGAACAATTCTGATACAGCCACTGAGGCTCAGGTGGCAGAACCAGCCTCTAAGACAGACACCTTTGCTGGCATGAAGTCACAGCCATGCTGGCACTTAGCTCAGACAGATGTTTCATCAGCAAAGCTCTGACTGTACTCACACCTTAAAACACACCCACACCTAAAGACTTTAGTAATGCAAGGAAAACTGCCATCTCTCAGATGAATTTAAAGCTGGGATCACTGATCACATTTCTAACCTAAATGATTCTATGATTCAGCAGCACAATGGCAAAAAATTAAGTGTTAGGAATGAGCTCAGATGAGAAAGAACTGGTCTCAAATTTCACTTCAGTTTGAAAAGCACAAATGTTTGTTTACTTTCAGAGGCAACCAGGGTTTGGGTGAGCCCAGGGCATGGGCACAGTTGAGTGGGGGAATAAATAATAGTTAAAAAACCCAATCAAAGTCCCCTAGAAGCTGCTTTAAGAATGAGACAAAAATCTTTCAAATGAATCCCATTCATCTACTTCAGTTCATAACTTTTGTAGCATTTTCTTGAGACCTCATTTAATTCCCAGTGAAATTCAAGGCAAACCTCCCAACAAGAGGAACCATTCAGTATGCAGCCTGTGACCAGCTGACAAACACAACTGCCATGAGTCTAATATCTGCTAAGTGCTTCTGTTTTGTCAACAGATTGCTACAAGGCAAACAGTAAGTGTTTGCATTTTCTTTGGACATATGCTGTACATCCAGGAGCATTCAAGGAGCTCATTAATCTATGAACAAATAATTCTGTAAAATAGTCAGCCCTTGATATTGATGGCTAAACAATAAAAGCTAACTGGAATGAGGAATCAAGCAGTCACAGCTGAATAAGCATATTTAATTTTAAAATTTGTTTCAGTAGTTATCTTAAAAATGAGCAGAGGAGCTATAATTTTCACTGTACAGCTTTTCTTCTTGCTGTAATGAAGTGGTTTTTATACAAAATGTAAAGGCCCAAGCTGAGAATAAATATTATTAAAACCTTTAATTTCTGTCACATCCCCCTAACTAACAAGCAGATTCTGATGGCATCACACTGGATAAAACTTTCTTCAATCAAAAATTATCTAGCTGGTAGTAACTACAGCTGCCCCAGCACTGGGATGTGGAGCTGCTCAAGCACAAGAAAAAATTCAAAGTCTTATTTTGACCTCAGCTTGCTCCTGAAGAAGCACAAAAAAGAGAAAGTGAATTCATGTTAGCTGACAATAAACTTGGGGTTTCATATTTTTGTTAAATCAGCTCATCCTAAAAATTGGGATATCACCTCTGAAATCAGTGGAGGTGTACTGGATTATACCAGGAAGAACGAAATCATTAAATTCTAGATTGTGGTTTCTTTTTACTAACTTCTTAGCCATGTTTGGCAAGATTGCTTGTGTCTGAAAACTCTTCCTACACTGTTGGTTGTTTGTCCTTGGACAAATTAAAAATTTGACTGGACACAGCCCCTGGGAAATCCACTGTAGCTAATCCTGGTAGAACAGGGAGGATTAACTATATGGTTGTGAAAGGTCCCTTCCACACCCAATAATTCTCTCTATAATAAAGCACCTCTAAATTTATTTGCTTTTTTCAGTTTATTGAAGCAGCCTCCATGAAAAGCAACAACTGTTTCTAGAAAGCTATACTAAAGGAAAAAGTTATGATAAAAATTAGGATTTTATACAATCCTTTCAGTAGAGCAAAGATAATAATGGATTTATAAGCAAAGATAGGATCTACAAAAAGAGTTTTTTGCATTCATATGAGAAAAAAATTCATGCCCAGCAAGTTGATGCTCAAAGGAAAAAAAGTAGGTAAAATGTAATGTTAAGGCTAAAATTGGATAACACAGAACCACTGACATTTTGGTTGTAAAAACGCTTCTGCAGATCATGTAGATGAATCTTCCTCTTGAAGCAAGGCTACTACCAATACGAGATCAAGTGAGTTGTGTCTTGTTATATCCAAGTCTTGAAAACCTCCAATGTTGGGGACTCCATCCTTTTTCTGATGAATTTTCCCCCCCCTAATTTCTGAGCTATATTTCTTAAGCATCAGTTAGTAGCAATTCCCACTGGTTACATCATCTGATTTTTCCAGGAAGAATTTATTCCTTCCATTTTAGTAACTTCCCTCCTAAACAGGCTTCAGTAGCTATTAAAAAAACAATTAGCTTCCTCTTCACCATGTAAAATACAAGTCCAGTTCCTTCACTTTTTCTTCACTGCACTTTCATGGAGTCACTCCTTTGGATTAACCCCACTTTCTACAAAAAATCCTTTACTTCATTCTTTGTAATGACATATGTGATTATATTTATTTGTATAGCACTTGTTCTTTGCTTGTACTGGGCTTGGCAGTATCCAGTAAATTTTCTATTAATTAATTATCTTCTTTATTAGTACAGATGAAGAAATACACGCAAGCTTACAGTTACTTTAAAGAGAGGGGTTGTCCTGGAGAGCTGTATTGTGTGGCCAGGAGCAGGGTTTGCTCTGAGGCAGAGCCAGAGCAGCACACTCACCATCCCTCACGGGCAGGTAGCACTGCTCCTCCTGGCCAATTCTGAAAGGACAGCAGCGAATTTTTTTGCATTCAGACATGTTCAGGCCTTGTACAGGACAAGGAGTGAAGAGTCGCTCATTGCTGAGGCGGCAAGCTTTAAAAAGAAAAAAAAAACAATATTGGATAAGATGTCTATCCTGGGAGCAATGTGGAACAGAAGGAAGTCATCACTTTGGTGTCTCTAGCATGTTTTGATTAATTAAATCTGCCAGAAAACAATATAATTGACATTCATGTATGTTCTTTCCCAAACCTAACCAATTTTTAAACTGAAATTAGCAAAAAAGCGAAACCATGTAATAGAAAAATCTTCTGTAATTTGCTTTGTTTCTATAAGGATCTATTACAAAGCTGAATCTAAACAACATTGTGACATTTTTATGTACCTAGGTTTGTAAAGTAAGTGAAAAATACAAACTAAATTTTCTGACTGTTCTGTTTCTAATTAAAAAGCAGCAGAAATTAAAGTCTTTTTCTTTTGAGGGACTATATTGCAACTAACCATCTCTGTTTGGCACCTATTTGTTTCTACAAGCAGCTGAAAATCAGCTGCGAGAAAAACCCCCCCACAACATCCAATACAGTTAATGAACAACACATTTAAGCAGTTTTTGAGATTTCCTATTTAATAGCAGATTTATTGATAATCATGAGATACTCTGTGGGAATGGTTTAAATGTGTAAGATAGTTATAAATAGTAGACGCCTCTGTATATTTAATTCCTATAAAACATCATATCTCATCCCTTATGTTACACAGCAGCTGCAAAGCATCATTTGGTTCCAACAACTCCCCCAGGACTGGCTGTATTGTCAGTCTCACATTTATCAGAGACATTACTGGTTGCCTAATTCAGTTTATTAAAGGGGGATCAGGATCTTCACCAGTCCTCTGTGTTTACTTAGGCCTACATGTGAGCAATAATGGTGGAGGCACATGATATTAATGCAGAAACACACCAAGTGAAAAGTAGCATCTCCTTCTCCTTCCTATTGGTCTATGGTCTGGTTATGGAACCAGGCTGGCAGTTTTTATATAGAACAAATCTTTTTTGCACTCATATTATTTTGCTTTTTGATATTAGTAAGTTAGCATTGGGATTTCCCATCTCAATAATTTTATGAAATAATGTAGTTCTTGTGATTTTACTTCAGCAATCCAAAGGTGAGTGGATGAGTGTAGTCCAATAGGCTGAAGCTTTTCTCAGCCAGTAGAAGTGGGAGAGACACCAGTGTGGGACAAAATCCTTCTCTCATTTAGGCTGTGCCAAATTCTCTTTTCTCTCTGTGTGGGAAGACTGGAAAGCGAGTCTAGATGAGACACAACAAAGCCAGGCATGGTGGATCCTATGCCAAACTTTCTGCATAATTTCAGCATTTCCAGCACAGTCACATCACTGGTGATGGAGGGTTTTGCAGGAGGGTAGCAATGCAAACAAATCTGTGATTGTCCCTAAGAGGCACTTAGCAATCCTATTTTCAAGAGTCTAGTGAGTTTTACAGTATTAGACTGAGGGTTTTAAACACATGAACTGCTGAGGTAGGGTAGAGGGGGTGGCTTGGAAGTGAGGCAGAATGGGAAGGAAGAGAGAAACAATGCTGCAGGGTGAAGTGACACTTACTCATGGGACTGAAGAAGCTTAAGAAAGACACGAATACACCTTCCATTGTCATGTTAGGTTTGCTGGTTGCCTCTGCACTCTGCTCTGAACCAGGCTGAGTTGGGGCTGCAAGAACTGAAAGTTCACAATGATTAGCTCATTACCATCAAAACTATCCGTAATTAATTAAAGCAATGACATTTTCATACTGATTATCGCTCATTAGGAAGGCATTTACAGTCATCAGGAAACTCTGTCTACTGATGGCTAGCAAGGTTAAGCACAGATGTCTTTCTGTTGTATTCACTTATATTGCTTTAAATTGCTTCATGAACCACAATGAATAAAGAACTAAAGCTGTAAAATTTAAATTAAAGAATGCATTCAGGTGGAAATTGTCAAGGATAAAAAGCCCTGCTGCTCACCTATGAGGTGCAGGTTACATGAAAATGCTTTGCTGCATGCATAGTTATATTTCTCCTATGCACACAAGCAGAACTTCCTGATTTTAGACAAAGATCAGACCCCAGTTAGAACACAGAAACATGGTGAAAGGCACCTTTATCAGACACAACCAAACATGCATCTATCCCAGCTTCTAATTTCAGACAGTGACCTGCTGCAGTTGCACAGTAAAGAGCAAAACATCTCTAAATATAGAGGTACTGTTTACACAAAAGCTACTGATTTCTTACTCTGGGACTTCCAAATCACCTTTCATTTTCAAAATTCTAAAAAAAAAAAATGGGATCAGTAAACCTTGCTGCCTCCCTACATCTCTTTTTCATTACACCAAAAGTGCAAATCACAGTAGGACTCCACTGGCAATCAACCACTCCCCAATGAGGGGGAAAAAAGAGACCCAGTATTCCCACCTGCCTGCCTTTTTCCTCTCCATGAGAGAAACTTACACCATCACCACTTTAATAGCTTTCAGTGATGGAGTTTGCTGAAAGCCATTTCATGGTGTTAGAGTCCTTGTGACAGAAGTGAGATCACAACCTAACAAAAACCTAAAGTATTGAACAACTTCAGTCTTTTGGATAATTCCTCATCAAGAACAATTATCCAAACAGCGTGGGGAGCAGAAATTAGGGAATTGGGAAATCATTTGTCCTGGGGCACAACTTGCCTCTTCTGTGCCATACAAAACTCCCTTGGGGTAAAAAAAGAACTGAGTAGAGGGAATTGAAGGTACTATCACAACAGATAATCTGAAATTAATGTGTAACAGAAATGTGACCACCAAAGCTCATGCTGACAGTTATGTCATGGGGTCCCTCTCCCTGCTAGTAAACAAGACAGAACAGAAAATTTTAAAGACTTTGTAATGATTTCTTGGGAAGTCCACGAGATGAGGTTTCCAGCATTCGTTTCATTGTGAAAGCTGTGGCTGCCCCACACACCACTCTGTCATGTGAGGGGTGAAACAGACACAAGGCATTTACAAAGGTTTAATGGCCATTGTGTACTTACACACTTATATCTGTGTGAGCTCACACCCCCTCTGGAAGCTTTTTACAATGACACAGCCACTGCCAGCCTCTCACCAAGAGCTGAAAAGGCTGAGGTCTGGTTTCTCAATGCATTAAGGATCAAATGCAAAGATGTTTGGATGGATCCTTTAGACATGCCAATGACCAAACTTAACTTCTGTAAGTGCAAGTAATCAGATAAAAACCTTTCTAATTACTTTGAGTCATCTGCTGTAATAAGTAAATACATCAATTCTCAACAGACTGTAAGAACACCTTTAATTGTATGCTAGGAAAAAAGTTGAAGTAGGGAAAAATAGAAGAATTTATAAATGGGGGAAAAAAAGAAAAATCTATGATCAACTGTGAAATAAAAGCAAGTTGCACTGACAGGGATGAAACCAGCACCATGTATTTCTTGTACAGATGCACAGAGGGAAATGGGAAGTACAGTTGCAGGAAAAAATATATTTTGCTATATTTAAGTCTCAGAATGGATCAATCCAATCTGAAGCAATTGCTTGTAATATTTCTCAATATTCCCCAAGCATTCCCAAGACTGCTTGCTAGTAAAAATACTTGCTGCTTCTTTGAGAATGTTTTTGCGCTTGCAATACTCACGTGAGTGGATGCTACAAAGCAGGACCATGAAGACCCACACCCCACGGGTGCCCAAGGGCAGCATTACTGCAATGAAACCAAGAGCAGTAATAGGTATAGGGCCCTGAATAAAACAAATTATTGAACTTAACTCCATATTTATGGATTAAAGCACACCTGACAGTTGATTGCTGGACAAAGCAGGACTGCCTCTTTTTGCAAGAAAGAGGCCAAAAGCCATTGAAAATGTATTGGCAAGGAATAATTTTGAAGAAATTACTCATTTGAAGGGAGTTTAAAGGAAGTAATTTTGCTAACAGAGAGTAGCCAAAAAATTATCTTTCTGAAGTGTCCCAGAGCTGGACACCTGGCACTTAAAACTATAATTTTTACTAAAAATTTTAATCTGAGTTTAATGAACAGAATCAAGAATGAAGAATGAATAATTTTTGAAAGCTTAAAACTAAATTCTAGTTTAGCTCATTGAATTCTTCACTCTTTTCACAATTGGAGCATATGAAGAGCTTTGGATAGCATTTTTAAAAGGTGGTTCAAAATGGATTAGAGACAAAAATACTTTTAGAAATCCCCACGTGATTCATAGTAATTTAACAGCAGGTTTAAGCTGGGTTTTGTACCTGCAAGCAGCTCATGATGACTGCTTTGACAGATGCTGTATTTCACTTTGCCTGCCCCTCCTGTTTTACCCCAAAAAGAGCTTTTTTCAATTATTACCACTTAGTTCTAAAGACAGCTTAAACCTAGAGACAATTTGTTAGTACTGGGGAGGGGAGAACCCCGTTTTCTGAAGTGTTGCACAGGAAAAGACTGACTGCATTTCACGTGGATATTGCCCTTTGCAGCTCTTTCTGCACTCCTGCTCAGTGAGGAAAGCTCCCCTGCCCTTGGAAGAGCCTGTGCTACTCAGTGCTAGAGAGGAATATACAAACATGTTCTATCCCATGGAGAAACTACTTTGGTAATGTGAAATTATTTCTTAAGAGGACAGGGATAATGTTTTCCAAGAGACTCATTAAAATTTAATACCATTCATGACAAACTGGGAAAACAAGGGAGAAGGAAAACAAGATAAAGAGAAAAATCTTTTTCTTGCCATTACTTACTTCTTTTGCTGTCTCCTCCAGCCCTGCTTGAGCAGGGCATGAGCAGCTCCCCAGGGTGCAGCAACCACAGACTGGTCCCAACAACCATGGAACCAAAGCATGTCACAGTCACCATCCCCAGCTCAGGTGCACGGAACAGGATGGAGCAACAGAGGGGCCAGAGAAACCTCAGTGGGCTTTGGGAGAAATTGGCCCCTGCTGAGACAGTTGGAAAGCCTCTCAAGTCTTCTAATTCTCCAAGTTAAAAAGTTCATAATACCAGTCACACTCCAGTATACAACACAGAAACATCACCTAATGGAGCAGACCAGGTAAAAGGTACGAGATCAAAATACATTCCTCAAATCAAAAAGTTCAGTCAAGAATGCTTAAATTAGAGCTTCTCACTAATCCATGAAAGGTGAATTAATTAGGTATTGCTTCACCAAATATCTGCACACTTGAAGCACAAATCTGACACACATCTTTCTGAGACTTGGAAAGCCAATCATGTCCCAGGTTGCATCAAAGGGAACATGGCCAGCAGGTCAAGGGAGATTCTGCCCCTCTACTCCACTCTCCTGAGACCCCACCTGGTGTACTGCAGCCAGCTCTGGAGATCTGGTTTCAACTGGGATGGGATAGAGTTAAATTTTCTTCTTTGTAGCTGGCACAGTGCTGTGCCTTGGATTTAGGATGAGGCTAATGCTGATATCACACCGATGTTCAGTCGTTGCTAAGCAGCTCTTGCTCTCAATCAAGGACTTCTGAGTTTCCCTGCTCTGGGAGGGAGCAGGTGTACCAGAAACCAGGAGGGAGCATGGCCAGGACATGGCCAAAGGGACATCCCACACCATGGCACATCATGCTCAGTATATAAACTGCAGGAGCTGGCAGAGAGATGTTGTACCAGAAACCAGGAGGGAGCATGGCCAGGACATGGCCAAAGGGACATCCCACACCATGGCACATGGTATATAAACTGCAGGAGTTGGCAGAGAGATGCCAAACACTGCCCAGGGATGGGCTGGGCATTGGTCAGTGTATTGAGCAATTGTATTGTGCAGCTCTTGCTCTTCTTGGATTTCATCTCTCTTGCTCCTTTTCATCACAATTATTATAATTGTATTCTATGATCTTCCAATTATTAAACAATTCTTGTATCAACCCATGCTTTTTACTCGTTTGTTTCCTCTGATTCCCATCCCCACTGGGAGGGTGGAGGGGGAAGAGAGCACTGAGAGTGAGTGAGTGAGTGAGTGAGTGAGTGAGTGAGTGAGTGAGTGAGTGAGTGAGTGAGTGAGTGGGTGAGTGAGCGAGCAGCTGCCTGGTGTTGCTGCCTGGAGTTAAACCACAAGTTCCCCCATGAAGGACATGGACCTCTTCAGGCTTGTCAAGTGGGTCATGAAGGTGACCAGAGGCTTGGAACAGCTCTGCTCTGAAGACAAGAAGTCTGAGAGACTTGGGGTGCTTCAGCCTGTCCCCTCTGGGGACACATCAGGGCCCCTCTCAGTGCCTAAAGGGGCTACATGAGAAAGACGGGGAAGATTTTTTTATCAGGGCCTGTGCAATAGGACAAAGAGCAAGAGTTTTAAACAAAAAAGAGGTTCAAAATAGACTAAAGTTGAAGTTTTTCACATCAGGGCCTGTGCAATAGGACAAAGAGCAAGAGTTTTAAACAAAAAGAGGTTCAAAATAGACTAGCTATAAAGTTGAAGTTTTTCACAATGAGGATGGTGAGACTGGCACAGGTTGCCCAGAGAAGCTGTAGATGCCCAGTGCCTGGAGGCATTCTAGGCCAGGCTGGACAGAGCTCTGGGCAACTTGGTCTTCAGGAAGGTGTTCCTGCCCAAGGCAGATGATCTTTAAGGTCCCTTCCAAACCAGACCATTCTAGGATTCTAAAACTTCCATTCCTTTTATTAAGGAGAGGCTCTGAATAGACTGGGAGCAGTGTTTTAAAAATATACAGAAGCCTAAAGTAAATGCAGATGCAATCAAATCAGCAGTTCCCCTAACAGATGAGCTGCCTAGAGCAGTTGCAGTTTGCTACAACAGCCATCTGAACTGATAAGTGAGCCTGAAAAAACTTACATATTCACATGGGTTTTTCCCCTCATTTCATCTAATTGCAAAATGAGTTTAAAGGGTGGCTCTCTTTAACCTCATTTGTATGCAGCACTAGCTTGCTAAAATAAGCAACAATACACAGTATCCTCAGTTTCATTGTTTCGCTAGATACCCAGACTAGACTCAGGCACTCTCAGCAGCTCAGGAGATACTTGGAAATGTCTAATCCCCAAGCCTTCCCTTTCTGAAGCATGTGATTTACATGAAAGTGAGATTTTCCACGCTGATTTACCTCATGGAACACTCCAGACAGTGTAATGCATTTCTGACATGGGACTTTTCAGACTGCTAAGAATCACAGAAAATTGCCCCCCCCCATTTTAAGCAGAACACTTAATTGATTTTACCACATTAAGGAGTGTTGATTTCCCTTGCTGCAGCTGTAGGCTACACCTGAGGCTCAGCCTCTGCACCAGGCTTTTTTGCACATCCAAACCCCAAACCACACCTAATGTTTGTTCTAACATTTCTGCAACAGTCAAGTTCTTAGCATTTACAGACTACATCCATGTGATCATTTTTTGCTTTAAATTTACCGATTTTATTGGAAACCAGTTTCCTAAATGCAGTGCAAAGCCGCAAGTAAACATTTTCTCCTACTGAATTTTCAGTAGATACACAAAATTACCTATGATTGCTGCTCTTTCTTATAATCCAATTCCATACAGTACTCAAAGCACACAACAAACCACTGCTTTAAAGTCTATTGTAAAGTAATTTTTAAACAATGAAAAAAAATAATAATTATGGCAAACTGACTCATCTGGGTTTAACAGCAATTATTTCTATCAAACTGTTTGAGATGAATGACCTTCATAACTGTGAAAGCACAGGTGACAGATGTGTGATGCATTTTAAAACATTGCTTGTAGAAAACCAGATTCATGCCTTGATGCAAGCAGAAGATCCACAGTCCTATATCAAAGACTCACACTGCCATTGTAAAGATCTGTTGCTGTAAATCACAGCATAAAAATATGATGTGAAACCCACACTGTGCTTAAGTCTAATGAACCTCTGGCAGGGAGACCCTTGTGATCCAAGTGGAATCTATTCAGAACACTCAGCTCAGGAGGTCTAGCCTCACTTTTCCTAATATATATTAAGCTGCCTTAATACCTTAACAATGCAAACGTCCCTAGTCACCCCAATTTTCATGGGTGTGAATGTCTGGAAACAACTGACCAGCACCTTTTAGGACAAAAATCTGTTAAGTTCAAGTGAATGATGAACAAGCTTAGTACACGCTATTGTGGAAACAACGAGCTTAGCCTTGTCACTTTTTTAAAAAAAAAATTTAAGTAGCCACCAGAACCGCAACACATCTCCCCCACCCCTTAAAATAGGTATTCCAATGCAAGTCTTGCTGCTTCTGGAAATAGACAAAACCTTAAAAAATACACAGGATAAAAATATTTGACACCCATCTTCTCTTGCAGATTAGCAGAGAACTTAGCAAATTGTGCAGCAGGACTCCTGAAATGACTGAGGAATACTCACTGGAAGCTAAAGTTTTTCTTTTTAATATTCAATATTGATGGGTTTTGCAGGAAAACATACTGCAGTTCAGGAAAATAAGCTCCCTTTCACAGTAATTAATTGCACATAGGAAGAAACAGGGTCTACACTCAGTCCCTACTCACAGCACTCGATGTCCTTCCTGGACATGGAACATAATATTTGATATTAAGGACAAAGAACGCCTGAAAAAGCCCCTCAGTAACAGATTAAAATAACTTCTGTTAAAACTAAACCTAGTATCTTCTTGAACTAGTGAATGCTCATAAAGACATTTCTGTCTGCTTAAAAAAAGCTAAAGAGATTTTTATTCCTTGACAAAATTTTAATAACTCTGAATATCTTAACTCCCCACCCGTCATCAACAAAAATGCATTCAGTAAATAACAAAACCACAAACGTTCTATTTTTTTAAGCATTTGTTAATTCACGTTTTGAGCTTAACCTTACTGAATTTAGACTTTGGCATGATTCACAAATACCTCTCACTCTTTCAAAGAACTTTATTTTAAAAATAATTTTAATTCATTAGACCATACTTCATAATAGTTACCAATAGGACGGACCTGAACTCAAGCATCAGACATTTGTTGCACTTTCAAGTTTTGTAACAACATGACTTTTCAAAATAAAAGTGTACATTTAGATTCACAGGTTCATTTGTTGAAATTTAATAACATTTAAAATCACTGGAATATGAAATGAAAGGGATATATGTGAAGTCCACAAATACTGAAAAAAAGTCATAACCCCAAAACCCACGTGGAAATGGAAGGCAGCCAATTAGTCAGACTGTGGTTTCGGAATTTCACATTTACCTGGGTTAGCACCTTAGTGAACTCAACCACTGAATGTGAGAAATGAGTGCATGAAGTGTGAAGTGTGACCACTCAACAGGTACCATTCCATGAGCAGACTGTCATCTTGAGCATTTTGTGCCACATTTTTGAAAGCTGGTAATATCTGAGACTTTTCGAAAATGTGTAAATAAACAACGGCTACAGTTAAAGTCTAAACAAAGAAATACTTTCTACTTTCTGTCAGTTGATATTTTTAAAGCAATCATTCATAAGGATTGCATCAACATCAGTTAGCAGAGGAAGATCAAACTTTATTGAAACTGCTTGCATACAAAATATATTGCACTATAACCAAACAAATGTCAACATAAAATCCAATCTGTTGTAGCTAATATGTACAGAGAATATTGCCCAAGAGCAGTTACATTACAAGGTCAGTCTACCTTGGTTAATTATCTACAGTATTTTAAACCAAACAGCTTACAGATGATGTGTGCAAGGTACCAATTTCTGTTTTCAAATACTATACATTCCCAAAATAAATAACTAGAAATCAACATTAATGTTTGGCAATACTTTTTAAGACATTTTTATATTTGTTAAATCATGTGCAGTTCGTTGCCAGTT